GCAGTCATGTCAGTCTATGAATATGTCATCAATTTGCAAAAAAAAAATGTAGACAAATACATCGCACGAGATGCTCAGCCGAAGGAAGAAATTGCCGAATTTGCAACAAAGAAGGTCATTTTGCCAGTATGTGCTTTTTTAAATACCAGCAGCATCGTCAACCCCAGAAATATCAACGGCAGTCGTCAGAACTTAAGGAAAATATGGACAAATATCTTCACAACGTGAATACCGAAGAGGACGAAGATGACACAAATTTATTTGTCGGAACATTGCTAAGCGAAAAATACAATGTGACGCTACGCGCACACTGCAGCCGGCATCGGCCGAAATGTGCTCAGCCGATATCGGCTATATGCAGGCGATATGAATAAACACTTGTGATTATATGAACGCTCTCACACATAAACCGATAACCGAACCGACATCGGCCGTTGACGTCCGTCAGTGACGATAAATTCAAACACGTTTGTTTTTCTCGTCCGATGTACCAAAGAAGTACCAAAATGAGCTGCGAAAAATTAACTTATTGTGTGCAAAACAAACAAATTACCTATAAAATCACATGTTTTGAGTATGTTAATTAAAATTTATCAAAATATTTCACTGCTTACAAAATTGAAATGAAAACTAGATTTGTGCGTACAAATACGGTCGGAAAATAGTCTGGTTAAGTGTGCGCATCAGTTGGGACGGTCGAAATCGGTCGGCCTATCGGATGCAATGGGCGCCTAGCGTGAGTCAGTCTAACGAATGGAATATAAAAGTTGAGGTTAAAAATTAAAAATGTGATCTGTCAAATCGACACAGGAGCAAAAACTAACATAATGTCTACAGAATCTTGGAAAAAATTACAAATCGAAGTGTGTCCTCAGTCCGGTTATAATGTTTTGACATTCAGTGACGAAAGATTGGCGTTACTTGGCACAACAAAAATTAATTGCTTTTACAAAAATCAGAGTTACTGTGTAAGTTTTCACATTTTGAATATGACTTGCAAAAATATAATTGGATTGAGAAGCGCAATAGATATGCAATTAATAAGTAAGATTAATTCATTAAATATCAATAAAATGTTCGATCAGTACATATATGTTTTTAAAGGGCTAGGCAACTTATAAAGTGAATATGAACTGAAATTAAAGCCACATTCAGTTCCAGTAGTTGATGCTCTGCGAAAATTTCCCTTTAGTCTGTATGACCCATTAAAAGCTGAACTAGACAGAATGGTCAAGTTAAATGTCATAAAACCAATTAGTGAGCCGACAGAATGGGTAAATTAGTAGTGCTTGTTTCAAAACCAAACGGAAGTCTGCGTTTGTGCTTAGATCCGCGAAATTTAAATAAGGCAATATTGCGGCCGCATTTTCCATTTACTAATATAGATGAATGTAAGTCAAAATTAAAAGGTTCAAAGTTCTTTTCTGCACTGGACGCGCACTCAGGCTTTTGGATGATACCGTTAAGTGAAAATTCGTCGAAGCTATGTATGTGCATTTCACACCCCGTTTGGTCGTTATAGATTTTTACGTTTGCATTTGGAATTAATGCAGCTCCAGAAATCTTCCATGGCGAGATGGTAAAATTATTCGGTGATATACATAAAGGGGCTTATTAATTACATGGAAGCCTTTTTAATACACGCTGAAACGCGTGAAGAACACAATAACATTGTCAAAAGTACTCGATAGAGCTAGAGAAGTGTAGAGCAGGGTGTAAGACCCGACGAAGACAAAGTAAAGGCGATTTTACAAACGCAACAGCGTCAGTCTGTAACAGAATTACAGCGATTTTCGGGTATGGTAAATTACCTTACCCCTTTTATAAGTAACTAGCAGAGCACCCGACGTCGTTCGGGGCAAACAAATCAAAATATAAAACAGTAATACAAATATTCAGTTCAGCATAATTTAAAGGAGACAAACTCTTTTATTTGTTTACATTAAAGCATCCTTAGGAGCTATAACTAATATATATTGATCATCACTTGTACTACAAATTTTGTTCCATTATTAATATTAGATAGATTAAGGTAACGATCAAATTTCTAAATTAAAATTATTCTGCTACGGTACATTCCGTTTAGCTGCCTATTCGATTAGCTGTTTTATTTAGCTGCACTTTTCTAGTATAATGCTTAATTCGGAAGGAGTTGTATTCATTACTAGCAGACCCGGCGAACTTCGTCCCGCCCAAAATTTTTATATATTTTATTGAAACTTTTTGGTCCAACATTTTCACCAACAATTCACGTTTACGATTTTCATTGGCACATTTGTCTGCTAAGATTAAGGTTTGGTGGTCATTTGCCGCTTTAAATAACCTAAGGAAAGTGTTATATCCGTGAAGAAGTTCTTGAAATTCTCCAGTTGTGCGGAATTTCATAGCACGGTTATTCGCAAAGCGAAATAAATTTTTTCCTCTTCACTCCCTGGCGGCAACAATGATCCGGTTCTATAGTGAATGTCCTAGAAGCTTTACAGTATAGTAGGTGGCAATTTCAAAATGAGTGCGAATCATTGTTCTACCGAAATGCAATATACATATACTTATTTTAGACGAAATACCTTAAAAGTTTGAACGTATAATAATATTGGAAAATCACATCCATTGGGCCAATTGCAACGCAGGAGCGTTCGATATACTCAGTGGTGCAACAGGTCGATTTAAACTGACCTTCACGGCCGCTTTTCTCACTTGGCTATTTTTAGTAATAGCTCGACTTCAGCACCACTTGGCAGCACGTTTTTGCAATAGTATTGCATACATATTTAAAACATTAGCCTAATCGGATCGTAAATAAGATTTGTAGTAATAACTCTACTACAGCGCCAACTGTCGGATTAAATTGTGAAACTAAACCATCCAGAGACCCACTCAAAACACAAAAAGTTTCGTTAAAATCCGTACAACCATCTAGGAGGATTTCACTCACAAACACACCCTACAGAAGAATAAACAAATTCATTCAAAGATAGCTAAAGGTCGGTACGTTTGTAGGCCTCACACCCCTTTTCAAATAGCCGAAAATTTCTCCATGAGTATGGGCTTGATTTCAACTATATACATATCTCGATACGAAGTTCCAGTACTGTACCATGAATACTTTCAGAGATATGCAGTATAAAAATTCGATTTATATGGGAGGTGCCACACCCCCTTTCCAACAGCTGCCCTCTTTCTTCATGAGTATGCGATTTATTTCATATATCTCCATACCTAGTTCCAGAACTCTACCAA